TGTGGGTTCTAGAGGGAAGAGTGGGTGGGTGCAGCGGACAGGCAGAGCTAGATCTTGGAGGTATCAATGGGCATGGCGTTTGGGGTGTCGAGGAGCCCGAAGTTTGGGAGCTGCTGACTGCAGTATGAGGCGTAGTGAAAGACAAGGCAGAGGTCTGCAGGCCTCGTCGCCTTAGTGATACGTTAGGTGCCTTCTCCTGAGCCATGGGGAGCAATCGAATGACTTTGAGCAGGGGAGGGCAGGGTCAAATTGGTATTTTATTTTATTATTTTTATTTATTGAGACAGAGTCTTGCTCTGTCACCAGGCTGGAGTGCAGTGGCACGATCTCAGCTCACTGCAACCTTCGCCGCCTGGATTCAAGCGATTCTCGTGTCTCAGCCTCCCAAGAAGCTGGAACTACAAGCACATGCCACCATGCACGGCTAATTTTTGTATTTTTAGTAGAGATGGGGTTTCACCATGTTGGCCAGGATGGTTTCGATCTCCTGACTTCATGATCCTCCTGCTTCAGCCTCCCAAAGTGCTGGGATTACAGGCGTGAGCTACCACGCCCGGCTGGTATTTTATTATTATTTTTTTTTGTCGGGGGGCAGAGTCTCAATCTGTCACCCAGGCTGGAATGCTGTGGTTCGATCTTGGCTCACTGCAACCTCTGTCTCCTGGGTTCAAGCAATTCTCCTGCCTCAGACTCCCGAGTAGCTGGGATTATAGGCATGCACTGCCATGCCTAGCTAACTTTTGTATGTTTAGTAGAGAAGGGTTTCACCCTGTTGGCCAGGCTGATCTTGAACTCCTGACCTCAAGTGATCCGCTGGCCTCAACCTCCTAAAGTGCTGGGATAAGAGGCATGAGCCACCGCACCGGGCCCAGATTGACATTTTAGAAAAATCTTTGGGAGGCAGAGGTAGAAGAAGGTCACTTGAGGCCAGGAGTTCGAGACCACTGGGCAATAAAGTGAAACCTCATCTCCACCAAAAAAGAAGAAAAAAGATTAGCAGTTTGTGATGGCATGTACCTGTAGTCCAGCTACAGGTAGGAGGCGTAGGTGGGAGGATTGCTTTAGCCCAGAAGTTTGAGGCTGCAGCGGGCTATGATTGCACCACTGCACTCCAGCCTGGGTGACAGCAGCCCTGCCTCTAAAAGAAGAAGAAAAAGAAGAAAGAAAGAGCTTTCAAGAAAAGAAAAAAAAAGAAAGAGCTCAAGGGCCAGGTGTGGTGGCTCACACCTATAATCCTAGCACTTTGGGAGGCTGAGGCAGGAGATCACAAAGTCAGCAGTTCAAGACCAGCCTGGCCAACTTAGTGAAACCACATCTTTACTAAAAATACAAAAAAAAAATTAGCTGCGTGTGGTGGCAGGCACCTGTAATGCCAGCTACTCGGGAGGCTGAGGCAGGAGAATTGCTTGAACTTGGGGGGTGGAGGTTGCAGTGAGCCGAGATCACACACACCACTGCACTCCAGCCTGGAAGACAGAGCA